TATAGCATATATATATATATATATATATATATATATATATATATATATATATATATATATATATATATATATATATATATATATATATATATATATATATATATATATATAATGTTCGATCCAAAATTATAAATGAAACACCCATTAAGCGACCGTTTTTTCAGTGATAAACTGAATTGAATCATGATTTCAAAATAGTATATTTACCAGTCCGCTTAACCTTCCCTCCCAAACACGCTCCAACACTGCAAAGTCAAGTGAATAATACATCTGTTCGCGAAAATGTCGCAGAACCCAAGTAGTTCGACTGACGCTGGATTCAAATTCGTTTCGTATTATTACGGAAATTAAAACCATCTTCGAGGCCAGATCTTTGATATTTAAAGTACAGCAATATGGCATATAGCAAAGAGGCGTTCCCCATCTAGCCAAACTGATTTATTTACAGTCGAACCTGTATTAAGGTGGCTCCATACATTTTCTTGAAAAGTAGCAAACACACGTTTCTGATCCAAAATCTTGTTTATTGATAATTTGTTTAGAAGATTGATACTAGATGTCTTCTATGGAACAGCATTTTGAGACTATGAAACTGCAACAAAAAATGCGTAACCATGGTTGCTATGGCAACAATGACGTTTCAAAATGCCCGCTAATTTGCGTTAAAATGAATTTAATTTAAAACAGTGTCGGTGACCCCCAAGTTTTGTTTTATTAAAAATTATCTGTAGTAATAATTAGGCCAATTTTTAAAAAACTCTGTAGATCCAAAAAAAATTTTGTCATGAATAAACACGTTTTTTCGATTAAAAATCTACAGATTCTTTTAAAAATTGTCCTAATGATTTCTCATACTAGAAAAAAACTTTTAATAAAATAAAAATTGGGGGTCACCGACATTGTTTTCGAAATAAACTAGTTTCAAATGCAAATTAGCGGCCATTTTGAAACGTCATTGTTGCCATAGTAACCACAGTTACGGACTTTTCCGTTACCGTTTCTGATTCTCAAAATACTGTTCTATACAAGACATCTGGTTTCATTCTTCTATAAAAATATCAACTGTACAAAAATTTTTGGTCTGAAATGTGTCTTATCCACTTTTCAAGAAGCTTGTATGGAGCCACCTTAATTAAGGTTACAGGACACCCTTTTTGGCGTTTTGCGGAAAATCGCTACTGCGCGCTCAATATCAGTCCGATTTTCATCAAATTTTCACCAAGTGTTCTCCAGTGCATGCAAAATATGGTAAAGTTGTAAAATTAACAAACAATAAAACAATGTAAGAATTATTCAGGAAAATCTTAAATCGCGGTACCGTTACGCTTTTGAGTTGTGCTCCTGCTGGTTTTAAATTATATTGATGAAAATATCATTTTTATACAGTAAAATAGTTGTTCTAAAAAATTGTGTTCGGAAATTTTTGTTGATTTCGTCATTCCGCTGATATGGCGATTTCTTTGACGACTGCAGTATATTTCTGAATTGTTTGAGTGAAATGCTCTTTATTTTTAAAATATCCAAAATTAAAAAAAAAGCCGAACACAATTTTGAAACTGACGTATTTAGCTATGTCCTGTGAAAATTTGAGAAAAATTGGTTAAAATACGCAGGAGCACAACTCGTTTGAAAATCAGTAATTACCGTAAAATTTTTCGGGAGAAAATTGAATTTGAATATTACATTTTCAATGTTTTTCTTATTGCAGCGAAATGTAGGCTCAGATTCCAGCCGTTGTGTTCTCGCCACTCGCCCATGTTAAGTGGGCGAGTGGGGCGAGAACACAACGGCTGGAATCTGAGTCTACGAAATGTATTTTATTAAATAACTCTGCGAGTTTTCAACATTTTTCGTTTAAACTTGGTCAGATAGTAGAACTAGTCTAATGCTTTCATCGAAACCAATAAAAAACAATTTAGGCAAAATTAACACTCAAAGGTGTTCTGTAACCTTAATGTAATTATTGTATAATATTTGGAAGCGAAGCACAATAAATAAATACAGTCGAACCTGTATTAAGCGGTCACCCTCGAGGATTTCGCAAGTGACGTCATCGCTTAATACAGGTGTTGTATAAAATCGCCACACGGCCAAACAAAACTGACTATACTGTTGACAATTTCAGTGATTACGGAAGTTCGATCGAGTAATGAGATAAACAAAACGTATAATGACTTTGACATGTTGCCGAATAAAGATTTAATTATATATCGTATTATGTTTCCTGGAGTTTCACTTTGCACTGACCGTCGATAGAGTTTCAAAACAATGAAAAATTAAGTTTGGGACCGTGGAAATGGTGACCGCGTCCGCTTAATAGAGGTGACCGTTCAATAAAGGTCACTTAAATAGTATTTATATTATGCAATTTTCGAGACTTTGCCACATCATGACCGGTTAACAAAGGATGACGGCCGGTGCCGCTTAAAGAAGCTGGGACACCACGACAGCTTAACACCAATTACAGTGGACCTTTTACAATATATCAACATAAAAAATACACTATATAATACCCAGAACTGTTATGAAATCCTATGCAAGAATATGTGTCAACTACAGCAAACAAGCTGCATAAATATACTTTTCTGTGGTGTGACCGCAACGTGTTACATTCCAAACTAGCAGAAACGCGCAATAGGCGTACTAAGAGGCCTAGGGACTAGGCTGGTTACATTCTAGCACGAGCTTAGCATGATGTCCAAGCAAGGCACGCTATAATAATCCAGTGGTAATCCCCAAGCACAAGCGCTTGTGTGACTGCGGCTTGAACTGTTCTATGTGATCGAGTTGAACACTTCTTATCATTCTGGTTACTGGCTAAGTCTTCACATTCTACCTTGATCATGAAACCAACGCATGGCATTTAAACAGAACATTGCAATTGATGCGCTCAATTTCACTTTGGCAAAATTATATTGAAAAAATTAATATAAAATCAATCACATGCACAATCGATTGGTTTTTATTAACTTTTTACTAGTTCCCTAGACTTTTAAATTTTTACTCCAAATTGTATATATAAAAATTTCCGATAGTTTGTAAATATTATTGCATGCCTATAGTTATGCTCTTCTCTTTTAATAGACATTGTTGTAAATCCACTGTATTTTTAAACTAAAGATGGATCAATAAAATCATTATCATCATTCCAAGTAATCGAAGACTACTCTATGACGAAAAAGCATTTTACACAATATTAAAGATGCGAATACGTAATAATTCCGTGCCGGCAAAGGTTGGCACAGGTTGTATTACCTACACTCTTTGAAGCTCTACCATGTACCATCGTTACAAAGTTCTCATGCATGTACCCTATATCTTTTTTTACTAATTCGCCCATATTACATAATATAAATCATAAAATAGAAGATATTTACATTAAAAGGGCTAGGAACCTTCTAGAAACCATAAGGCTTTTCAGTTAAGGTCCCTAGTAACAACTTTAAATATCAAGCCTATACTCAGAAAAATTCTGATCCCTAACGGTGGTGAGCCTTGATGGTGAGCCAAGGTGCGGAAATGCAGTTCTTAATAATAACATCAACAAGACATGTCGAGACTTGCAGTTAGCAGTACACATGTAACACACAGAACTAGTAAATAACGTAACCTTGGCTCACCATCTGATGCCTTATAGCTGAATGGTTAGAGCGTCTGTCCGGTTATCAGAAGGTTACGTGGTTCAAATCCCGTTAGCGCTCAGAATTTTTCTGAGTATATAGGCTTGATACGCATCCACACCAAATCACATATTCTACAAGCTGCCACAAAAACATATATATATATATATATATATATATATATCTATATATATATCTATATATATATATATATATATATATATATATATATATATATATATATATATATATATATATATATATATATATATATATATATATATATATATATATATATATATATATATCACAAGTTTTGTAACGTATAGTGAAGAGAGTGCTCAATATATATATATATATATATATATATACAGGGTGTATCAAAAAAAGCGCAATCCTCGACTGAAATGTAAATTGTTAAACAAATAATAGACGAAAACGTTAAAGTTTACATTCATTTTAAAGCGTAGCCATTCAGCTTTCTAACAGTGGGTTGTTTCTTAAATTTGACTCATTGGTTCACGGGTAATAATACTTTACGTTATTGCGATTGGAGATTAAAAAAATTGAGATATGGAATAACAAATCGTTCTCATGAAAATAACTGATCTTTTCATTAAAACAAAAAAATGTTGCATTTTATTAAATGGATTGTAACAATAAGTATAATTAAATGGATTGTAACAATAAGTATAATTACGGCTTTTCTTCCACTATTTTTAACTCAGTTTGAAACTTCAAATGCGATATAATTTTGGCTTGGACCATCTAAGCTGACTGACATCAGCTTGCTATAATTTCTGTTTACATTACATCGCAATTCTATGCCACTCTGGCTCAGACACCAGAATGTTTTGACGATTTTTAGCATTCATTTAGGACTTTCAAACAACCTGGTTTCTTTTAAAATACGTTTAATTTGTTCTTACGTGGTTTTCCAGATGTAGTGATGACAAAATTAAAGTTTAAAGAAGAAAATTCTAACATTTAAACCGACTAAACAATAACATAGTAAACTTGCATAATTAAACAGCAACTAAAAATGATAGGTTTTACTAAATCTTTTCCTGTGCAATTATTACTAGCATTGGAGACAAGGATAATCATTTGTTTGAAAGAGAAAAGAACAGGCTTTTAAGTAAGCCTAAAAGCGTTTAACTAAAAATAGTATTTCGAAAGTTATTAAGCACAAAAGATGAATTGCGTTTATTTTCATACACCTCTCAGTGTGTCCACATGAAAAGTTTGCTTGACAGCGGTTGGAACCCTGTTTGCTAGTCCAATGCTCTGTCAACTGAACTACAAGATCAAGTCGTTCGAGGGTGTGATATTTCGGAACTCAATCTAATTCCTTCGATATCAGTGTATCTCTACGATCCTGGCAATTCGATTCCCACGGCGGCCAAGCAAACCTTTCAGCTTGCCCGGTGTGGACACACTCGGAGACAACATCACAAACATATATCTTCACCTGAGAGCATATAACACCAGAAAAACCCCATTATTATACTTACTAAACAACACTAATTGTGTAATTCCATGAATGTAATCGCGTAGTTTTCTAAGGCGGACAAAATTCGCGAGAGAAAATGTTATTCGCGATACAGATATAATGTCCGGGAAGACTGTGTCACCTATAGCTGATAATGTCTGAACAGACTCCGCTGTAACACCTTGTTTATTTTCACGATAACTTAAAAAAGTCATTGGAAAATTTGGATATTGCCACAAAGTGAAATAATCGAAAACGTGACACCATGCAGTGATGCCGGGGAGAGGGGGTCATTTACTTATCATGCAGTGCCTTAAATCGGAGGCCATTTACTTATCAGTGTCTTAAAAAAACTATATCGTATGTCATCAACCTTTAGATTGGTAAATTGAAAAGTAACTCAATAGCTCAAGTCCTTTTTTCTTGGTATGAATTTCACTAAGAGAGGTCGGTCAGGTTTCATTAGCCCACCCACCATGTCCTTATTCACCGCAGTATCTCCTGCGTATTCCAAACGAAAACTAAGTATGATCTTGCTTACCAACGTGTAGATCGGTAACTCCGCCTGTCTACGACCTAAACACATTCTTACTCCATAACCGAATGGTAATGAAGTAAACGGATTCCCCTGAGTCCTCTTTCCTGTTGCGTCACGCAGCCATCGCTCCGGCACAAACTGCTTTGCGTCTTCCCCATAATAGCGCTCGTCGACCGACAGCAAATGTTCGTGCAATAAAACATATACACCAGCTGGGATATGGTAGCCGAGAACGTTGAGATCCTTATCAAATACCCGAGCGATCGTAAATCCAGCGGTGGGATTCATGCGACCTGTCTCTTTCAGGGTTGCCTTGACAAGCGTTAAACGTTGGATGTTCGTTTTGGATACTTCCCTGTCATGGCCAAGAACGGACACCAACTCCTGATAGAGTTTCTCCTGCACTTCTGGATGCTGAGCGAGATGGTAAAGCAACCAAAGACACGTCGTACTGGTCGTATCAACACCACCTGCCATCAGTCCAGTAAGATATGTTGCCATACTGTTCGATGTAACCTTTGCTTTGGCAGACAGATATTCAAAAAATGTCTGCGTCATTTTGTTTCCTTGCTCACCCTGCTTCTTCGCTAACTCTCTATTGATAATGTCCATACCAGTGGCACTATTTGTAAGAAAACTTTTCTTTAACGCATAATACGCCGGAATCTTGATGTACTTGTAAAGAGGAGCAGTAACATTAAGTTTTCCAACATTTTTCAACATCTCTTTGGCCGACCTCACAAACACGATTGCATCCGGATCTGGAGGTTGGTCGTAGAAACCAAGACGCTTATTGAACAAGCCGGCGGCAATCGCCTCAACAGTCCAGTACGTAAACTGCTCTTCAATGTTATTTATCGTCCCGTCACGCTGCGATTGTTGCTGCATTCTCTTCACAAAGTCATCCGCTACAGTATTTAATATAGGCAATGTTTCAAGGGCATCCTTTAGACGATTCAGCTTTGGCGCCAGCAGCGATCTATCATGATACCATTTTTCATAGTCGTTCGAGATCGGACCAAAACCTGTGTCGGGATTAATTTCGTCCCCTGCGTCTGCCACGGCGTCCAAGCCCGGACGCATTTGAAACGTTCTATCAGTGCGTAAAACTTTGGTCGTGGCTTCTACGTCGCACACGTTCACAATTCGCGTACCTAGTATTTCCTCACTGTAAATTGGACCATATCTTTTGAAACGTTTCGCAACGACGTCAAAATACGAGCCTTTCGTATACGTATAATCGAAAATATTTCGAATGCTACCTTTTAGGCCTGGCATTGCTGAGAACGGAAGCACATTGGTGTCGTTTGGCTCCACGATAGTGGACGAACTACGTGCCAACATTGCCAATGACCAAGACGATCTGAGGAATCGTTGAAGAAAAAAAGAACGTGTGAAGGAACAAGACAGCAACATCATTAATAATCTGTATAAGAGACTTTAAAGTTGAATCCAATATTTGTTGAGAGACTTGCTAAGAGACATTAAAGTTGAATGCAATCAATTTGTTATGCAGTGACGTGTTTTTATATCCGATTACTCAAATTTTTTCCCATATTTGTGCGGGCTCCGTTTGTCAGTGGACTTCCACGGTAAAATTGAAAATACAGTCATGTTTCTTCGCTTTGCATGCAAATTCTAGTACTCTATAGCGCTTAATTAATTAAAATTAAATAAATAAATGCGAATAGTACGTCCATTCATAAGTCCAGTGTAAACTTAAACTTGACATTCATATGATATCGTTTATTTACGCGACAACATCATATTTGCAGTGTATCGGTAATTTATAAATTGCGGGTCGTTATGCGATGTATATAATAGCGTAATAGCCACCAAGCATTTTGGTTCCCAACAGATTATAACATCTTTTCCCACCTTATTATACATAAAATATATGATAAATGACACAATTTAAGCCTCGTTTACGTGGTATGGGGCTGCCCGCAGGCTAGGCCGTTTTGACTTTGGGCCGTTTTACCTAGCACCGTATTTGTGGGCAAATTGTCTATACAATTTTATATACTAGATACCACAGCCATACCTGCCATTTTGATCTTTTCCTGGGGTTAGATAAGTTGATAAGTACACTCATTCTTGTTAGCCATCGTACCTGTTTGGCTGTTTCCCTTTCGATACGAAACTTCGAGCGCTGAGTTATCCGGCATACGGCACATTCAAGTGTATAAATTATGCATTATTCCAATTCATTACGAATATTTCTTACTCTTATTCTTTAAAATATTAAGAGGCAACTTTTTTTCAATGTCACGTATTTGCAATGAAAAGTGATCAAAACCAGTAAAATCTTTTTGGCGTTCCTCTCAAAATTACTTTGTCCCCGAGCCGGCGGCGCGAAGCGCCGTGCGAGGGTACTAATTCCCCCCGGCTATTTACACCCGGGGAAACGAAAGCATTAGGGAAGTCTAAAGTTCATCAAATATCGCGGGCGTGGATCACTGTGCGTGTTTCGGTGGGTGGTCATCCTCACTGATCTCATAATACAGCGGACTGTAATGAATAGCCAACACTGATTGGTCCAATTTAAAATTGGCAATTATAACGGCTGCATGACGATTGACGACAGCGAAATTGATTTGATGATTT